TCCTTCTGTTATACATGAGGTCATCATGAGTTGGAGGCAACTCGAGAGCAGCAACATATATCCTGTGAAAACATAATATTTCATGAGTTTTCTTTTTACATAATTGACTTTACACAGTATATATGGTTCTGTAACTTGCTTTTGTCATGGAACAATATGACTTGGTGAAATTAGCAGAATTGGTGAGCTCATTAAAACAAAACAGATACTGTCAGATCACCTCAAGAAGTGGACGAGAACTTTCCACATGTTGCAGGTCACTCATTCTCAGACACCACTTCAAGGTAGATATTATTATTAGCATTTAATGAATTAGAAAACTAAGTTCCAGAGAAGTAAGGGAACTTGCCCCAGTACCTAGCATGTAAAAGGCTCTCCATAATTATGTACTGAACAATGAACACAATGAATCGGTGGCCAAGCTGGGGCTTTGAACACAACTCTGTCTAGCCTGAGAGGCCAACATCCTTTCTCTCCACGCTGAGAGGCCGACATCCTTTATCTCCACACAGATTCAGGAACGAGAGAGGAACCCTGTGCACATGTAGCAGCTGCTGGGAGGCAGGGGGCCGAATTCCAATCACCTACTGTCAGCATTCCTGGGAAAAGAGCTCCTTCCCATCCTCCCAAACCAAAAACCAAACCATACCCACTGCCGACTTGATTCTGACTCATAGCAACCCCACTGGACAGGGTAAAACTCCCGCATAGGGTTTACAAGGCTATAAATCTCTACGGAAGCAGACTGCCACATCCACTGGGTTCAAACTGCTGGCCTTTTGGTCAGCAGCCGAGTGCTTTAACCACTGTGCCACCAGGGCTCCCTTACCCGCCCTCCCAGGAGAACAAAATCATCTAGGGCTGATGGGGAAAACACATCTAATGTTCGGTAAAGCCATGACCTTTGGAGAAGGGGCTGTTCTCAATAACCAGGCTAATAATAACCACCTGATAGCAATTTCCCGCAAGCCGGCTTCCTACCACACATCTGGCAGTTGGTCACCATCCCTTTGTTGCACGCATGATTTGTCATTAGGTCAGGCTGCGAGAGTAAATTACACTGCAGCATACAGGAGTTAGCATATAACCCTCACATTGCCAAGCCTGGGGAGATTCTCAAAGGAAAAGATGTGCCAGGGGCCCTACAGAAAGGGCCTTTCTCCCTAAGGCTCCATCCATCGGACTCTTTGGGACATTTTGGAGACCTGAGCCTGCATCCCGGCTCTGCCACTCACTAAAAAAAAAAAAAAACCTGTTGCCGTTGAGTCGATTCTGACTCATAGCAACCCTATAGGACAGAGGAGTAGAACTGCCCCATAGAGTTTCCAAGGTGCACCTGGCGGACTTGAAGTCGTAGCTGTTAACCACTACGCCACCAGGGTTTCCTTGCCGCTCACTAGCTGGGTGATTTTGGGCAAGCCACTTAACCCCTCTGCACCTCAGTTTCTTCATCTGTAGAGTGAAGATGTTAATATTAGTACCTCCCTGACTGGGTTATTCTGAGAGTTAAATGAATTCATAGACATACAGCACTTAGAACAGTGCCCGGTACATGGTTGCTGTTAGGTGCTGTTGAGTCGATTCGGACCCATAAGGGCCCCATGTGAGAGTAAAGCTGCCCCTCTAAGTCTTCTTGGCTATAATCTTTACAGAAACAAATCGCCAGGCCTTTCTCCCACAGAGCTGCTGGGTGGGTCTGAATGCCAACCTTTCCCTTAGCAGCCGAGAGCTTAACCATTGGGCCACCATATTGGTCTTCTCTTTAATGATCTCAGTTGTAATTACGCTTTCACAGACGGGATTATTTCATTATAATCTGTCTGCCCCCACCCCTGTAATCCATGAGGACAGGCTTCCCATCTATTTTGCTTAATGTTGTATTTCCAGCACATAATACAGTGCCTGGTACAGAGTAAGCGTTCAATAAAGAATCAAGGAATGAATAAATGACTCGATCAATTATGGAGTTGCTAAAACAATGAATTACGATTTTCCAGGGATGAGAAGGGGTCCCTAGGTGGTGCAGATGGTTAACACACTCAGCTGCTAAATGAAAAGTTGGAGGTTTGAGTTCACCCAGGGGCACCCTGGAAGAAAGGCTTGGTGATCTACTTCTGAAAGATCAGCCACTGAAAACTCCATGGAGCACAGTTCTACTCTGACATATGGGGTCGCCGTGAGTTGGAATTGACTTGATGGCAACTGGCTTGTGGGGTTTTTTTTTGTTTTTGTTTTTTTTTGTGGGGGTGGCAGGGGTTGGTTAGGGAAGGCCTCAATGAGAAAGTGATGCTTGAGCAAAGACCTGAAGAAGGTGAGGGAAGAACACGGTAGGTGGGTGTCTGGGGGAGAAGCATCTCAGGCCAGTGCAAAGGATGCAAAGCTGGGGCTGGAGGAGCCAGGAGGAGGCCAGCGTGGCTGGTGGATGGAGAGGAGAAGGCAGGAGTGTGTTGTGAGAATACCAGCTTCTCTTTCTGTTGAAGATTCTGAACGGAGGAGTGATGTGACCTGACTTACGTTTTCAAAAGATTGCTCCGTCTGCTTTATTCTCCACAGATTTGAAGATAAAGAACCTCCATGCCCTCCCCACCAGCCCAACACCCCCAGAAGACAACTGAGAGAGCCCTCAGGGAACTCGAGAGAGAATGAGAACCAGAATGGGGTCCCAAGAGGCTCTGTGTACTGTGCTGGGGGATTCAGGAAACACAGTATGTTTCCTTTTTAAAAATGTTTTTTTCTTATTTGTGTAGCTTAGTCACCCTATCAACCCACTGTTTTATCAGTATTGACCATGGAATTTATAGTGACTCTCTTGTTTTGAGAAGAGAAATCCCTGTTTAAAAATAATTAAGACAAAGGGTGCCAGCTGAGGTCGTGTGTGTGTGTGTGTGCGTGTGTGTGCTTGCGCGTGTGTGTGCATGTGTGTGCGCGCGTGCACGTGTGTGTGCACGTGCGTGTGTGTGTGCGTGCAGGTGCACATGTACATTGTACTTCTGTGGCTGCGTGTGCCTTTATCTGTGTTTATATTTGTGTGTTCACTGGCCCGTGGTCTGTGGGTGGGCACAGCTATGTGTCTACATGTGTCTGTGAACACGTCAGCCTGGCATACATCCCAATCTCCTGCACAATAAAATCCAGAGTTCTTACGACGGCCAAAAAGATCTTCCCCTGGCCACCTTTGCATTCTCATTTCCTGCTGGCTCCCTCCATTCCAGGCAGGCTGACTTCCAGGCTGTCACTGGAACACACTCAGCACACTCTGGTCCCAGGGCCTTTGCACTGGCTGTCCCCTCTGCCTGAAACACTTCCCCCCAGATGCCAGCATGTCCCACTCTCACTTCATTCAGCCTCTGCTCAACTCTTGCCAACTCTGCTCAACTCTGCTCAACTCTAGAATACAGCACCTGATCTCTTTTTATTCCGCCAACCCTTTTCTAACATTATATTTGTGTTTGTTTATTCTCAGCCTCTCCTCTACAGAATGTAAGTTCCATGAAGGCAGGGACCTTGTGGTATCATTCCTTGCTCTACTCTTCCCCTCAGCCCCTACTACCTAGAAGACAGTCTGATACACAGTAGGCACTCGAAAATCATTTGCTGAATGAAAGAACAAATATCTCTAGGTGAAACTCGTGGTGCCTGTACATCTCGGGTGAAACTTGGGGTGTATGTGTCATCCTGGCACCTGTACGGGCACATTTGAGTGGGGATGGGTTATGTATAGACATCTGTACTATGTTGATGTGTCTCTGGTGTGTTGTGTGTGTGTGCGCGCATATCTGTGCGAGTGTGTGTCTGTCTGTCTGCCTGGGGAGACAGCAGTAAAGGGAGAGCAGCAGCTCATTAAGCTGGGATAGGCAGCTCTGAGCACGTCAGACACCGTTTGCTGGGCAGATGTGACCGTGATTGTCATTCACTACTTTTGTGCTAGTGCCTTCCTATTTTGGGTGGGGGACAAGGATAAAGTTTGCCCAAGCCAGAGCTTCCTCTGGGCTCCCCCATCCAGTGTTGTAATTGGAACATTGCTGTTAGGTACCGTCGAGTCGTTTCTCACTCATAGTGACCCCATGTGACACAGCAGAACTGCACCATGGGGTCTCCTAGGCTGTAATCTTTACAGATTGCCAGGTCTTTCTTCCGCGGAGCCACTAGGTGGGTTCAAACAGCCCACCTTAACAGCCCAGCGTTTAACCACTGCGCCACCAGGGCTCCTTTGCAATTGGAATGGAGGCTGAATTTCACTGCTTAGGCCTTCAGTGACCCTTAAACCCAAACCAAACTCATAATGACCCTTAAGGTGCCTCCAATCTCAGGCTTCAGGATGCTTGGAAGATTGCTTAAGCCTTTTCTGCTAGTTTATACTAACGTGTGACATTTGTACTGGATTTCACTTCCTTTTGGGCTCCAATTAAGTAACCTCCTGCTTTAGCCTGGTGTTGGAGACTCGATGAGTGCCTGAATGAATAAAATAACTACCAGCTATGAATAATAATAATAATGGACTCAAACCTACCAACCGTCGTGAAGATGGCGCAGGACAGGGCAACTTTGCGTTCTGTTGCACACACGGTCGCCATGAGTTGGCGCCTACTCCACAACTATTAACAGGAACAATAATGAATTCTAAGAGCAGTGAGGACGATAATGATAACAAAAAGTTAGCACGCTAGTTAACAGCACAGGTTCTGGAGCTCTAGTGCCCGGGTTCGAACCCGGACCTCACCATGCAGTAGTTGGGCGAGTTATTTAACTGCCTTAGAAGTGCGAGTTCAGCCCCCTGATGGGCAGGCCCGTCCTCGCACAGGTGCCTCCACCTCAGCAAAGGAACCCAGGTGAGAGCAGCGCCGCCTCAGGCGGCGCCCGCGCCTCGGTGGTTCCAAGTGCTCAGTTTCCCGCGCCCGCCAGCGGTCCTAGCAAGCATGCGCGGCCCGGGCAGAGAGGCGCGGCCACGGGGCGGTGCGCATGGGGGGGCGGGGCCGCGCCTGCGCAGACCGGCTGCTATGGCGGCCCCCTGAGCCCAGCTGTGTTAGGGTCAGGTGGCCCTGCAGACTGCGCCCCGCTATAGGTAAGCCCTCCCAGATGGTCCGCGGGACGTGGTAGAGTACAGGTCGCCTCCCGGCGCTGATCCTGACTTTTAAATTCCCGCTCCCACGCACCTGAAGCTCAGGGTCCTAAGCCTCGTCCCCACTCACAAGGGTGTTGAGGGGAGGAGACCGTGTCCTCATCCGAGTTTCTGCCTGGGGTCCAGGAAGCCCCCTCGGTTCCGATTAGAAAGGGAATGCGATGCCCGAGTTGTCACTGCCTTGTGAGAGAGCAGTGTTTAACCCACAAAGGTGGACTTCAAGGAGAGCGAGCAGCCACGGGGGAAGGCGTGTCCCTGGGTCTCCTGACTCCGACCATTTGTACTTTAGCCAGGGCCAAGCCACTCCCCGACCCCCTAGGCCTCGGTTCCTCAAGCTTTTCAGTCTTCACACCCTCCCCTCTATTCTCCGTGAACCGTTACGGAATTGCGACCAGTTCCTGATTTTTGAATGAATGAGTGAGTGGCTCCTGGCAGGGAGAAAGACTGGGAGGCGGGGAGGTATTTCAAGCCCCTGATCCCAGTAAACTGCTTCTGGAAGCAACCTTGACTGGGGAATCATAGGGGAGGAACGTGGACAGTGTCGGAGTCTGACCCCGTCAACCTTAGAAGAACCAAGGACACCTGTCAGAGTGTCCCCTCTGCAATCTGGGTCTCCATTCCCTGCTCTGCCCAGTGGAGAGGGCCCAGAAGACCAGATAGGCCCCGCATTCCCAGAGGGAGACTGAGTCAGCTGTTCCTAAGTATAGAAACAGCATTGCCTTTTTCCAGCCTTTCAGCACACCCATTAGTAATATTTATCATTATTGCTATAATGATAATCTAGTTGCTATTTATTGAGTGTTTACTCTGTCCTGGTCCCTGAAAGTGCTCATCGTCTTGTTTAATCCTCACCCAGGCCCTGAGATAGGTACAAAACCAAACTCATTGCCATGTCAGTTCCAACTCATAGCAACCTTATAGGGCAGAGTAAAACTGCCCCATAAGATTTTCAAGGCAGTAATCTTTATGGAAGCAGATCACCACATCTTTCTTCCACAAAGCAGCTGGTGAGTTCACACCACCAACCTTTCAGTTAGCAGCCGAGCACTTAACCACTGCACCACCGGGGCTCCTTATAGGTACAATAGGCCTCATTATTCCCAGATAACTGGTTCTGGAGAAAGCCCCTTAAAGGGACTCTACTTTGCCTGGGACCCCCAATTGCAGGGTTCATTTAATGGGAAGCCTGGGTAGTTGGAATTTTTTAATTGAAAATTCAACTAAAAATTAAGAACATAAGTTTATTTTTGGTCTGTATTTAAGAAAAATTGGTTGTTTATTTTGCTGTTCCCTTTTCTGTTTTATGATTTGCATGATCAAATATTCAAAAAGCTGGAAAAAATAAAAAGGGACAGAAATGTTATTTTATCAGTATAAATGGAAAACCAGATCCCATGCCATAAACAGAAGGTTACTGTGAAAATGAATGCAATCCAAACAAAACAAAATTAAATTCTGGCTGGGTTATTTTCCTTGCCAGGCTCTGAGACTTTCTCCCTGAGGAAGAGTTATTTGAAAAGGAAGTACTTTCTCCCGGGTGATGCCACGCGATTTACTGCCTTGGAGTCCCTGGGTGGCTCAAACAGTTAAGCACTTGGATACTGTCTTAGTTATCTAGTGCTGCTATAACAGACGTATCACAAGTGGGTGGCTTTAACAAACAGAAATTAATTCTCTCACAGTCTAGGAGGCTAGATGTCCAAATTCAGGGTGCCAGCTCCAGGGATAGCTTTCTCTCTGTCAGCTCTGGAGGAATGTCCTTGTCATCAATCTTCCCTGGGTCTATGAGCTTTTAAGCACAGGGACCCTGGGTCCAAAGGGTGCACGCTCCTGGCTTTTCTTGCTTGGTGGTAATGAGGTCCCATATCTCTGCTTGCTTCTCTCTTTTATGTCTCAAAAGAGATTGACTTAAGACACTACCTAATCTTGTAGATTGAGTCCTACCTCATTAACATAACTGCCACTAATCCCACCTCATTAACATCATAGAGGTAGGGTTTACAAAACATAGGAAAATCACATCAGGTGACAAAATGGTGGACAATCCCACAATACTAGGAATCATGGGCTAGCCAAGGTGACACACGTTTTTTGGGGGGACACAGTTCATAACAGCTACTAACCAAAAGGCTGGTGGTTCCTATCCACCCAGAAGCACCTCAGAAGAAAGACCTGGCGATCTCCTTCTGAAAGATCACAGCCACTGAGAATCCAGTGGAGCACAGTTCTACTCTGACACATGTGGGATCGACTTGATGGCAACTGGTTTGGTTTTCGGAGGGGTATGTTTGCATTCTGCCCCTTCGTGACCCGCCGACCTGAGGAATGTTCTCTCCCTCTCAGGTGCTCCTGTCCAGGGTTTACGTGGAGCCTGGGCCATGGTCCAGCCAGCTCCCAGCCCAGCCATGGACGAGGTCACCTTCAAAAGCGACACCGTGCTGTCAGATGTCCACCTCTACACCCCAAACCAGAGACACCTCATGGTGCGCCTGAACGGCACGGGGCAGCCCGGTAAGGCCTGGACGTGGGCGGAAGCCCAGCCCCCGGGGTCCCATCTGTCTTCTGTTTTCTCGCATTCATGTTTTTTGGGGAGAAGACTGCGTTGTTTAACCATTATCCTGACACCAGTTCCTCAGTGCTCTCCCTTCATTGAGCACCTGTTTCCTGAGCTCCCCGTGTGCCAGGCCCAGGACCCGATGCTGGGAATGCAGCAGTGAGTGAGCGAGCTCCATCCGCAGTGAGCCCATGTCCAGTAGGGCAGACAGCACTGGGGGCTCCACCTGTCCCCTGCTCTCCACCCCCACCCCCGCCCCTGGCCACAGTGTCACGAGGGAGAAGTAGCGCGAGATAAAAGGGCCTCATAAGCCAATGCGAGGAGTCTATATTTCATTCTAAGAGTCATGGGAAGCCACTGGAGGGTCAGGAGCTTCAGGGGGATGCTGTGATTGTATTTGCATTTTCCAAAAGCTCCCCTCTGCTGCGGCGGGTGGGGTATGCAGGAGGAAAGAGCAAGTCCCAGAAGGAGGAGACTGAGACAGCCAGGCAGTCTATGCAGGTGGCTGAGCAGGGGGGCAGCATAGAGGAGAAGCCTGAACTCCATCCTGAACCCGAAAGGAGTGTACCCAGACAAAGGAGGAAGCACAGGCACCACAGCAGAGGGAACAGCCCGTACAAAGGCCCAGAGGCAAGAGCTGTAACTAGGCCCTGTCTGCTGTGGCTCTGCCTGGGGTACTCACGATGGCATTTTCCTTGCAGAAGGGGGAAAAGTGTGAGCTCCATCTATGTACGGCAGTGTGAAAGGAACAGAAGGGGAAGGAAAGGATGGGAACAACGCGTCTTGAGCGCCTACTGCATGCTAGGTGCTTATATTCAGTGCCCCATCCTGCCCTCAGGATGGGGTGACTGGGGGGGAGGTGCTAGTTTCCTCGTTCTGCAAATGGGGAAACTGAGGCTCCGAACAGAGAGGTGACTTGCCCTGAGTCAGACTACTTAGGGGTACATGGAGGGTTCCAGCCCAGGATGATTAGCTCTGAAGTCTGTGCCCTCCTGCCTTCTGCCCTTCTCTCCTGCTCACAGATTCTTATTGAGACTCACCCCTGTGGCTTTCTGGCCACCAAACAGTCAGGGCACTTCAGGTCCTCATACAGGCCTTAAGAGGTGGAGCGGAGTAGTGAGAAGGGCGTGTGCTTAGGAGCGAGCTGACCGGGTTTGAACCCTGCCTCAGCTTCAGCCACGCAGTGGCCGTATGGCTTTGGTCAGCTCGCTTAAGTGACCTCCCTAAGCCTCCGTTTCCTCGTTTGTGAATACTGCCCTCGTAGCAATTGTGAGGATTCACTGAGGTAATGTGGGCCAAGTGCCTATCACATTGTAGCTGGTCATAAAATGTCGGCTGCTCCTGGTGGTGGTCGTTGCTGCTGTTGGTGGTCCCAGCATCATGGCTGAAGCAAATGGGCCTTCTCTGCCAGCATTAGTATGTCTCCTCCTGGCCTTTAAAACTGTTCCAAATCAAACTTAGAAGTCAGATTTTCTAAAAGAAGGAGAGAAAGAAGAAGAAAAGAAGGCCCCTTGGAAACACCGCCGTCCCATTTTGTTTTTGTTTTGCCTTTCAGTTTTCCTGTCCCATTTCAAGCTCCTGTGGAGCCAGGACTCGTTGGCCGACTCAGGGGTTGAGGGTGGAGACCACAGAGACACTCAAACAGACAACACTCCGCCCGCTGGGACAGGCCCCCCGGAGTCCCCTCCGGGGAGTGACCACAGTCACAAGGGTTTCTCCCTCCAGACCGGAGCTCACACCGCCGGCCAGGATGGGTCAGGAGCCCAGCTGGACGAGGACGGGGACTTGGACGTGGTGAGAAGACCACGGGCTGCCTCTGATCCCGACCCAGCCAGGCCTTCTAGAGACAAGGTACACCCCGTGATTCTCAGACAGGAGGAAGACGACATCATAGGAGACGAAGCACAAGAGAGCAGCCTCTACAGTGTCATCAGAATAGGTAATAAAGGTCTGGCTTGCCTGCAGCCCCCAGTACCCGTCCGGGAACGCATGTGGTTTGAGTGCTGGCTCTGTGTTCAGGCCCAGGCTGGGTGTTACACGGCAAGACGGGCAATCAGAGCCAGCTAGGGTGAGACTGAGAGCAAGCAGTGCTGCTGCCTGCAGGGGGAGCTTCTAAAACCCACCCAGGGTAGAGTCCAGACGACTCAGCTTGACTTCCAAGGCCCTGTGTGGCATGGCCTCACTCAGCTCTCCAGCCTCAACTCGCCCACCACCTCTCCTCACCCCCCTCACACCCTTCCATGCTTTCTCACCCAAGGGTCTTTGTTTGCCTCATGCCTCCCTCCCGGAGTACCTGACCCCCGTCTCTGCTTCCTTAATAATTCTAATTGCCGTTCAAGTCCCACCATAGCCATCCCCTCCTCCAGGAATCCTTGCTGCTACTTCCCCCCACGTCGATGTTCTGATCTGGACTCAACATACCAGGGGCGTGGGGTCACAAGTAGAGTTCATGGAAGGCTGGGCTGGGCTGGCATCAGGAAGCCATAGGCAGGTTGCTTGGCCTCTCTGGGCTCAGTTTCCATGTCTGTAAAATGGGTGTAGCAGCCTCTTACTGTGAGGAACTCAGAGAGATGGTGCATGTCAGTCTCTCAGCACAGTGCCTGACGCACAACAGGCGCTCAGTAAAGGTGCGCTGCCATCACCTTTAATCTGGGGATTGCTCCGGATGGGGAGAGAGGAGACCTGGCAGAGGAGGAGGTGTACAGATGTACAGACTGAGTTAGCAGACAGGGTGGGACTTGTACTTTCAGAATCTGACAGTGGCAGGACACAGGTCCTCATTGATGCAGGTCCCCAGGCTAGTTAGTCTTTGATGCTCTTGTGATGCCTTTGGGGTTGTTGGAACATAAAATGTGACTTTCCACTGGAGGAAGGAGCTAGCCCTTGACCCCAAATGGGGAGGCCAGGAAGTCAGCAGGGTCGCACCGCTGGACGTGATGCCTTGCCTCTTCCCTAAGCAGATGTGCCAGGCATTCACCATGATCATGCTGATGATCACAGTGATGGTCATCCCAAAGAAGAAAATCCACCCATTGAAGCACAGGGTGGGAGGGGGAGTCCCAGAATCTCTCCGCCCTTCGGACTCGAGCAGCATGCAGCACACGAGAGAACTGTGCCCCTAAGACCTGCTGCGCCGGCTTCTCGGCCTCTGTGTTGACTGGACTTCGTGGAGAATTTGTTCGGGGTTTACAGGTCTAATCCCAGGGATCCCCCAGCATCGTGGGAAGCTGGTCGCTCTTTTGTTCCGCCTGTCCCTGAGCGTCTCATTCTTGGATTTGTCGGGCTGCCTCGGCATTTTTTTTTTGTCATTGATGGGCAGCAGAAGTTATATCTGAAGCCAGTTTTGTCCGTTCCCACCTGACTTGGTTTTTAAGTCCCCTTTGTTTCCGTTTGGCCTTATAAAAACACCGTGACTTATTCTGATCTAAGTAGTTGGGTTTTTTCCCGTGTGACCTTGGGCTGATCGTTTCCCCTCCCTGGGCTTCAGGAACAACCAGCTGCCCCAGGGCTCAGGGCTTTATCTAGGTCAGTGGCTTTCAAGCACACCCTGAGCCCTTGCTCTCTGCTAAGCATTCTCTGGCTGAACCCCGTTACAACCCCACGAGCGAGGTGGCAATGTGTCTGCATCCGTAAAAGAGGAAGCTGCAGCTCCTAAAGTCACGTGCCTCAAGTCACCAGCTAGAAGGTGACAAAGCCTGGTCACACCAGGTCTGTCTGACATCTCGAAAGGGAGGCAGACCACCCCCTGGGAATACAGCTGGTGAGGCAGAACTTTGTCCACAAAGCCACTCAGAAAACCACACACCATGTGCGTGCGGCCAAGACCCTGAGGGGAGGCTCCCTGGCAGCAGGAACCCTCGGGGCACCAGGGACCGAGCGCCAAGGACAGGGTTTGCCAGGGAGACTTTGGAAGGTGAGGATGGGTGATGGGGAGGAGGACCCAATGAGGGGAGCTACGAGCCAGGCCTTAACCAGAGGGGGGTGAGAGGTGGGGCTGCACAGATGGGGGCAGGGGGGACAGGCAGTGGGTGGAGGCTGCCTACACGAAGGACCTGGAGCAGGGCTGTGGAAAGGAGAACAGCCAGAGGAGGCCTCGTGACCCGCTCCCCAGGCCTTCAGCGTGCCAGGGGAGTCACTACGCCCTTCCCTCTGGGAGGCCTCTGCCCAGGGCTGTTCAAACCCTGTCCCTGGGGATGCTTTCACGTTCTCCCTTCTCCGAAGTTGGGGGTGGGGGAGTAAAAAGCAGTCAAACAGCAAACACGAGCTCTGGAACCCAATGGCCCGAGGCAGAATCCCACATCTGCCGCTGCTAGCTCTGATCTCAGACAGCCTGCTTCACCTTATCCAGCCTCACGTTCCTCATCTGCAAGGTGTAGGGTCACTGGGTGGTGCAAATGGTTAAGTGTTCGGCTGCTAACTGAAAGGTTGGCAGTTCGAGTCCACCCAGAGGCACCTTAGAAGAAAGGCCTGGTGATCTACTTCCGAAAAATTGAAAACCCTGTAGAGCACGGTTTTATTCTGACACACGTGGGGTCTCCAGGAGTTGGAGTTGACTTGATGCACAGATTTTTTTTTTATAAGGGGAAGGAGATACTACTAGAACTTACTTCGCTGGGTGGTTTTGAGATAATACTAATTAAATGAGATATTGCTCATGAAGCATTTCGCATAGCGCCTGGCATGGAGAAGGTGTCCAAAAAATGTTTAATGAAGCAACTCACTGTGGGTGTGTCAGTGGGGATATTTCTGCTTCTGTTTTAAACCACGTGGCTACATGGTAGGCCATAGCCATCGAAAGTCCTTCTGAAAGGAGCATATTTTATTAAAAGTAACTTCCAAACCACAATTTCAAGTCCAACCAAAAAAAAACAAACCAGTTGATGTCGGGTCTGCTCTGACCCACGGCAGCCGCATGCGTGTCAGAGTAGAACTGTGCGCCATGGGGTTTTCAGTGGCTGATTTCTAGGAAGTAGATCGCCAGGCCTTCTGAGGCGCCCTGGGTGGACTCCAGCCGTTTGGTTAGCAGCCGAATGTCGTGACCGTTTGTACCACTCGGGCTGTATTTGCACTATCGTTCTCCAGTCTTTCCCTTCTCTTGCTCGCTCTGTCCCTGCTCCTTCTTTGTTGCATGTGGTTAGATTCGTGTGAGTCTGACAAGCGTACAAAGCCACCCTACTGTTTGTGTGTGTGTGTGCATGCGCACTTTAATTTGGCAGCTGTTACCATCTCGTGTAAAAATACAAGAGTGAGTTTTGACTTAACAGCAAAGATGTTTTATATCATTCTTTTGCTCGTTCATCTCGTATTTCTATTCTCTTCCCCCCACCCCACCCCACCCCCCGTGTTTTATCCTAATATATTTTGTGCTTGAGAATACTCGTGAATTATTTACCATACTTCCCTTTGGTTAAGAAAGGATATAAATTCAAACTTATTTTGTTAATTTCTCGTGTGATTCGAAGTGTAATAAAATGTTTTGGAATGAGTTGCAATTATTAGTAGCGTATAGTTGATCAAAACAGGATAAATACATTATCATCGTAATGTGCAGTTATTGAACATAAAAAGTGTAATGTGCTGTGTGTGTTTAATTAGGTTGGGATCAAGCCCTATTGTGTCTCTAGTCTGCAGTGTGTTGGGGGAGAGATGCCCAGTTATTTGGAAGAGAAAGCCATAGTATCAGTCAGGGTTCTCCAGAGAAGCAGAACCAATAGGATATAGATAGAAATACAGACAGAGTCCCTGGGAGGTGCAAACGCTCTGCTGCTGACTGAAAGGTTGGACGTTTGAGGCTACCCACAGGTACCTCAGAGGAAAGGCCTGGCAATCTACTTTGGAAAAATCAGCCATTGAAAGCCCCGTGGAGGGCGACTCTGCTCTGACACATGGGGTTGCTATGAGTGAAGGCTGACTTGATGGCAGCTGGTTTTTATAGACATAGATATATTAAAAGATTTATTTTAAGGAATTGGCTCACACATTTGTAGGGCTGGCAAGTCCAAAATCTGTAGGGCAGGCTAGAAAACTCAGTCAGGAGTTGATGGTGCAGTTTTAAGGCGGAATTTCTTCTTCGGAAAACATTTTTTTGCTCTGAAGGCCTTCAACTGATTGAATAAGGTCCACCTACATTATGGAAAGTAATCTGCTTTACTTTAGGCCAGCTGATCATAGGTGTTAACCCCATCTACACAGTACTGTCACCACAGCACCTGGGTGAGGGATTGATTAAATTAGTGTGGACAGTAGCAGCCTGGCCAGGCTGACACAGAGACTGACCGTCACGGCCATGGGGCCAGCCCATGAGCCAAGCTCACACACCCCCGCCCAGCCAGTGGCATGGCCTGTTTTTCTGCTTTTCTTTAGAACGCTAACCGCACGCCCGTCTGACCAGGTTTGCAGATTGCCGCGAGCCCCCTGTCTGTGGTTTTCTGTCCACCCCATTTTCACAGTGGGCATTTCTCTCTTGGTCCAGAGCACACCATGGCCACCCCCCTGGAAGACGTTGGCAAGCAGGTGGGTAGGTCTTGTCCACTTCCCTTGGCCCTGTAGTGTTCTCCCAGGGGCCTCACGCTGCCCACCGTTGCTTGTCGGTCTCCGTGCAGGTGTGGCGGGGCGCCCTGCTCCTGGTGGACTACATCCTGTTCCGACAAGACCTCCTCCGGGGATGCACCGTGCTGGAGCTCGGGGCGGGCACAGGGCTCGCCAGCATCGTCACAGCCACCGTTGCCCGGACTGTGTACTGTACAGGTGAGGACCTGATGTCCCAGGCGTCACAAAGCTTATGCTGAATGTACGGAAAAACAAAGGCAGGTGACTAAAACATGGACGTTGACTACCATTAATTTCTCTGTCTTGTTTCCTGGTTTCTCCCCCTGCCTTGTTTTCTCAATATTATCAGAATGACCCATCGACACCAAGTCAGTGGAGGTGATGTCACCCAACAGATACAAGGCCGTTTATGCTTCAGAGGCATTGGTGCCTCTGTTGCTCCTTCCGCTCACACCCCCGAGAGAGCAAACAGCTCAGGAAACCATGAGGAATGGGCCCTTTCATAAGGCTGTAAAGAGTCCCTGGGTAGTGCAAATGGTTAACATGCTCAGCTGTTAACCCAAAGGTTGGAAGTTCAAGTCCACCCAGAGGCACCTTGGGAAAAAAAGCCTGGCAATCTACTTTGGAAAAATCAACCTTGAAAACCCTATGGAGCACAGTTCTATTCTGACACACACGGGGTCGCCATGAGTCAGAGTTAACTCGACAGCCATTGGATGAGGCTTTAAAAACAGGTTTTGGGGTGATTTTTTCTCCCCGATTATGCAAGTCTTGCCTACTCTTTGTGGAGATTGTGTAAAGCAGCAAATAAAAATCACTCAATTTTACAAGCCCCAGATTCATTCAGCAGTGTACAATTTATTGAGCACCTACTGTGTGCCAGACTCAGTTCTAGAAGCGAGAGATCCAGCAGCGAATAGAACAGACCAAGGGACTACCCTTGGAGAGCTTACGTTTTAGAATCTGTTTTAACTGTTTTTATATTTTTTCACAATCTCTTTTCTTTTTTGTGTACAGACAGCCAAACGACAGCTGAAATCAAATTACATATGTATATGGTGCTATATCCTGCTGTTAACAACATTTTACCATGAGCACGTTTCCATGTCATAAGAAATTATTTATGAACATGACTTTTAATGACTACATAATATTTTGTCTTTTTTTTTTTTTTTTTTTAACCATACCCCTATTGCTAGACATTTTGGTTGTTTCCATGTTTCTTTGTATCTGTCGGTAACATTGAAATGAATATCTTTGCACTTTGTTGCCTGTTAATCCTCAGACTAGATTCTTAGAAATGGGTATGGTCATAAGCTTTGGATATATATGGCCAACATGCTTTTTTAATCTTTTTTTTTTTCATTTTGAAGTAATCTGAGCCTTACATGTTGTTGTTATTAGGTGCTGTCGAGTTGATTCCAGCTCATAGCGACCCCATGTGACAGAGTAGAACTGCACATAGGATTTTCTAGGCTGTAATCTTTAGGAGAGCAGATCACTAGGTCTTTCCTGGTGGCACAACAGTTAAGCAGTTAACTGCTATGAAAGGTTGGCAGATCGAACCCACCCAGCTGGAGAAAGTTTCGTTGTATAGGGGTTTTTAAACCATGTTCCCTGGAGTAGAGTTCATGAGCTCCCTCTGGGACTAGCAAAGGGATAAAGGGGGCCTAGACCCAGGGCTCCAGGACCCCAAACCCTATCCAGCCAGCACTGCTCCTTTCTTACCTGTCCTGTGCACTAGAATCCCACGTAATATCTCTTTGGACAAAAACGTTCATAAATGGTGACTTAAAAGCCATTGAGCTCGCCCTGACTTCATCCAAGCTTGGTGCTGCTGGGCATACCCTGCCAATGTGCTCCATCTCCTGGGGCCCTGGGGAAGGGACTGGTCCTTCTCCTTTGGTGAGCAGGGGCTCCTACCCTCTACCGGCAATGCAGGGTCCCTGGAGATGGGGCGTGGGGTGGGTTGGGGGTCCACACCCACAGTGGCCCTCCAGATGTCATTACATTCTTACCCAACACACATAGGTTCTCCTAACTGAACATTAATTTTTGGCAAAGCACTGCTTCCCCCAGGGAGGACTCACTGTACCACGAGTCAGTTCTGTTGAAATGCTGAGAAATCGCACCTCGTCAGAGTGGGCGAGGGGCTCGGAGGGAGGCATAGATGGCAGGGGACCACCTGAGCTGAGCGTGAGAGTGTCTCCGGCCTGCTCGAGTCTGCTCTGGGTCTGGATTAATCACCGCAAAACACCCTTCTGGCTCTGATTTCTAGGGTGTCAAAAGAGCGAGCCTAGATTTTGGAGTCAGAAAAACCTGGGTTCAGATCCCAACTCCCACTCCTACTACTTGGAGGGCTTTGTCCACGTGGCTGTCCCTATAAAGTGAGACCCGTGATACTGGCCCAGGAGATTGTCATCAGCCTTGAAAGGGCGAACGGCGGGAAGTGCTTTGTGTGTTTTATACGCTCAGAAAATGTTAGGCACGCTCACCCCTCCCTCTGAGGTACACACAGGTTCTGTCCCCACCAGGGCGATCATCTTCCAGTCAGGGGGGACATCAAAAAGGGCCTTAAGTGCATATCTCCCTTTTGGTAATAAAAAACCCGGCAGGTGCTTTCCTCTAATTTCCACTCTGCCCGTCTGCAGACACGCCATCTTCCTTCATACTGTTGCTGTCAGCTCTTCCCGGGCAGAAGCGTGGAGATGATGCTGCCGTGCCAGCCGGCGCTCTTTGACCTGCCCTTCTGTCGTTGCAGATGTTGGTGCCGATCTCTTGGCCATGTGCCAGCGAAACATCGCCCTCAATAGCCACCTGACTGCTGCTGGAGGTGAGTGGTTCACCTGGGAGGGAGGTTTCTGCGCTGGGCAGGTAAGACAGGCACCCACTGCGGCAACACAGAGAGGCAGAGCTCCACCCGCTCCCCTGGCCCCCAGGTGAAGGAGGAGTGGCCACTGTCTTGGCCCTCACGTGACTTCGATGATTCTGTGTCCTGGGGCCATCTCCTCCTTCCTACGCCTGCCACCACAGCTCAGTCCAATCCTCGAGCCTGGATGCCGGCCAAGCTGCCTGCCTGGTCTCCCCCTCTCCGTGCTCGCCATCCAGGCTGTCCTCCGTGGGCACCCTGAGTGACCACTCCGCCCTCCACCAAGAAACCTCCCAGGGCTCCCGTCACTTGCAGGATGACGTCCAGACCTCATTGCCCTGCCCTGCCTGCTCCTCCCGCCTGCTCTCCCTGCAGTCCTACTGCCCAGTCCTGTCATCCAGCCTGCCAGGGGCTCATTTCACGTTACCCTCCCTCTCCCTGGGATTGCCCCCTTCCCCGACCCCATCTGCCTGTCAGACACTTGCACCACCTGCGGGAACACCTCAGTGATAGGTGACGACAGCAGCTGTCTCCTAACTGGTCTACCCCGTCCAGACCGTCCCCCTCGGGGCCACCTGAGGGCCTTCTCCAGACTCAGGTCAGGTCACTCCAGCCCCATGGGCTCCCAGCCCTTCAGAATTTCCCGTTGCTCCCGGTGTAAAGACCAAATCCCTCCGCGTGGCCCGGTTTCTGCAGGGCGAGGCCCCTGTCCTCTCTGCAGCCCTCTCCCTGCCTCATGCCTGGCTCTCTCCACTCCCACCAGCCTCGCCTTCTCGGAGGGTCTCCTCCCTCGGGGCCTTTGCCATCCCTCTGTCTGGAATACTCTTCCTCTTCCTCCTGTGAACTCCTGATCACCCTCAGACCCCCAGACCTCCAGATGAGGTCAAAGGACCCTCACAGATTCCCATGATACCTGGAGCCTCAGCATTTTACCATTTTGTGATTCGCTGATTAATGACTGCCACCCCCACTAGACTGCACGCTCCATGAGGGCAGGGCTAGGTCTGTGTCTGTGTTTACTGAATGCCCAGTGTATAGTAGGCAGCTAACAAATAGAAGAAGGAAGGAGCAAGCAAGAAAGGGCAAAAGCTTGAACCTCCTTCTCTTTGAAGCCTCCCCTCCCATCCTGTGGTCTGACAGAAGAGTTCCTTTCTCTTCTCCTGTGTGCCTGGTACATCGTTTTCACGTTCCCCTCACCACGCTGACCTGTAGTTGTTGATTAACCCACCAGTCTCATGTCCTGGCTGGTTGATCCCCAAGGATGGAGACCATGTCTAGTTAGTCTGTGCATTCCCTGTGCCTGGCAAAGTACCTGATACTTAGCAGTCGAAAAAACGCTTGAAGGATGAGTGCACAGATGGACGGACGGACGGACGGACGGATGGATGGATGGGTGGGTGGGTCGATGGATGGATGGGTGGGTGGATAGATGGATAGGAGCAGGGAGGATGGAAGGAAGAATGAGAGTATGGATAGGTGGATGGTTGGATAGATGGGAAGGAGGATGGATAGGTGGGTGGGTGGGTAGATGAATGGGTGGGTGGGTGGATGGATGGATGGATGGATGGGTGGGTGGGTGGATAGATGAATAGGAGGGGGAGGATAAAAGGAAGGGTGAGAGTATGGATGGGAGGATGGATAGATGGGTGGGTGGATTGGTGGTTGAGAGGGCGAGAATGGATGGATGGATTTTGGTGTATAGTGTAAAAAGTTATCTTTCTTCCTAATTGTTTTTGGAGTGTGGGAAGTTCTATGTATCTTTTTGTTCTCACACAGGAGGAATAGTCAAGGTCAGAGAACTGGACTGGCTGAAAGATGACCTCTGCATCGGTGTGTGTTGTGGCTCCCCATTACAGCTCTGTGCTGTGGCCCTGGCTGAGCAGCAGAGTCCCACGACTCACGCAGCTTCCTCTGCTGGGCGATGAGTGTCAGCTGCCATTCTTGGAGCACCTGCTATGTTCCAGGCCCCTTACATTCGTTTTGTTGTTCGGGCCTCACAGTCTCACTGTGTAGGGGTGGTCGTCCCTGAGTTATGAGTGAAGGCTGACGCTCAGAGAGGTTAAGCCATCTGCCCAGGGTCACACAGCTAGTAAATGGCAAGGTCAGGGTTTGAACCCACGTCTGTGCGTCTCTGGGGTTTAGACCATTTCCACACCAAACAGTGGTGCCCGAGAGTCCCTCCTTGTCCCAGGCCAGGAAGCAGCCTCCTGCTTGGTGGCCTGCCCTCAGCCACAGCAGGAAGTCAGGCAGGTGGGTTCTAAACGTCTCACACAAATCACTTCAGCTTTTTCTTGCTTTTTCAGTGTACGTAAAGGTTTCTTTTCTCTGTCAGATGTCAGACTGACAGGTGAGGTAAATCATTACTTGTTGAGTCCCTGTCACCTGCCACGCACTTTGCATGCCTTATATATGTAAATACATGTAAATGCATGCATAGTCTAAACCGCTCCCACAAAAGTTGTGTACTGCTGTTAGAGAAAAGTCTGTGTGAAGTGTCTAGTACAAAGTGGACGCTCAACAACGGTAGCCATAACATTTAGGATATGACCTTTTGCACTTCCCACCAGTCCTAAGACAGAAGTATTAGCCCCATTCTGGTAACCCTGGTGGCACAATGGTTAAGTATTCAGCTGCTAACCAAAAGGTTGGTGGTTCTTGCCCACTCAGTGGCTCCATGGGACAAAAGTCCTGGCAATCTGCTCCTGTAAAGATTTACAGCCTTGGAAATACGGGGCAGTTCTGCCCTGTCCCATAGAGTCACTATGAGTTGGAATCGACTCAACGGCAATGGATTTGGGTTTTTGTTTTTTTTTTTTTTTTTGGTTTATAGACATGAAAACAATCCCAGAGTGGGGAAGGGACTTTCTTGGTCACACAGCCGATCAGGGGGCTGAGTGCCATGGCTGTGGTGCAGATCATGTCTACACAGGCTGCTGGCCCAGGCCACGGCAGAGGCTGGAACCTGGCCCCCCCCCACTGGTCAGGTCAGACTCCCTGGGGCAGATCATGTTTGCACAAGCTGCTGGCCCAGGCCACGGCAGAGGCTGGAATCTGCCCCCCCCCCCGCCTCCCGCCCTCACTGGTCAGGTCAGACTTCCTGGGGCAGATCATGTCTGCACAGGCTGCTGGCCCAGGCCACAGCAGAGGCTGGAATCTGCCCCCCCCCCGCCTCCCGCCCTCACTGGTCAGGTCAGACTTCCTGGGGCAGATCATGTCTGCACAAGCTGCTGGCCCAGGCCACAGCAGAGGCTGGAATCTGCCCCCCCCCCGCCTCCCGCCCTCACTGGTCAGGTCAGACTTCCTGGGGCAGATCATGTCTGCACAAGCTGCTGGCCCAGGCCACAGGAGAGGCTGGAATCTGCCCCCCCACCGCCTCCTGCCCTCACTGGTCAGGTCAGACTTCCTGGGGCAGATCATGTCTGCACAGGCTGCTGGCCCAGGCCACGGCAGAGGCTGGAACCTGGCCCCCCCCTCACTGGTCAGGTCAGACTCCCTGGGGCAGATCATGTCTGCACAGGCTGCTGGCCCAGGCCACGGCGGAGGCTGGAATCTGCCCCCCCCCCCCCATCACTGGTCAGGTCAGACTTCCTGGCAAGGCACTGTTGACCCCTGCGGAAAGGGGATCTGAGGCTGGAGCGCCAGGGGCTCAGGACTGTTTGTACCCACTGCACTGAGCTGTCCTCCCATTTCTTCTCCTGCAGCTTCTCTCAGTCAGTCTCGGTGAGAGTTGGGGGCAGCAGAGAAAGGAACGAGCATAAGACATCTTCTCTTTCTTCTTTCACAGATCCTGAGGTCCCCTTCAGTTGGTCAGAAGAGGAAGTCTCTGACTTGTTCAATCACACCACTGTGCTTCTTGCAGCTGAAGGTAAGAAACGTCTTTGCCATGGCAAGTTTTGTTGTAACACCAGCAAAAGCCACAGTGTCCCCTTCTGAGTTCTCTGAGTTCTCAGAAGCATCTTTCCAGAACATTCTATCACATCTACCTGCAGTTTTAATTCTGAGGACTGTCACTATTCTGTGTTGTTAGGATGTCCACATGGGTCCCCTGAGAAATATATCTCTTTAATATTTGCATATTTCACCCTAATGCTTTTTCTCTTCCCCACAGTGTTTTATGATGACGATTTAACTGATGCCCTATTTAAAACACTCTACCGACTCAGTCACAGACTGAAGAACGCCTGCACGGTCATCTTGTCGGTGGAGAAGAGGTGAGCGCCACACAGCGAGGGCAGAGCTGGCCTGCATGTCAGCCAGACTTTCACCTTCCTAATGCACTCTTATCAATGTCATTATTGTTACTTACTACCATTTATTGGGCACCTGCTGTGGGCCAGACCCTGTGCAGACATGATCTATATACATGATCTCATTTAGTCCGCATACTAACTCCATCAGTAGGCGCCTTTGTCCCCATTTTACAGATGAAGGAGGAAGGCTGAGACTTCAGCGGCTTGGCCAAGCCACATCAAATGCAAACGTATACCAGAGCCAGAACGCTTCACCACCGCACTCTGTAGCCTCTTCTCTTTCTGAGCTTTCTCTCCAAGACACCGTCTGACTCCTCAGCACCCCCAGGTTCCCCTTCTGTCCAGACAGAGCCTCACGGCCCAACAAGCCCCCTCCAGGACGTTTCCAGTTGAATATCCAAAAGTATACAACTCCTACTGATTGAGTATCCACCTTGTGAGATACACCCAGTGTCAGACAATTTGCACACATTTTTGTCTATTACCTACAGTAGTCCAAAGCTTTTTGAGAGGCAGTTTGGAACATGTAGCACAAACCATAAAACTGAACATCCTTACTGACCCAGCAATTCAACATCTGAAAATGATCATGGTGTGTACAAAGCCACACATACTTACATGTTCACTGCAGTGTTGTTTATGCTGATAAGGTTGAGGCCTTCTTTCAAGGCACGTATCGCCCAAGAGCAATGTCTGGACCTCATTTGGATCCTGATTATGTAAATTGTAAAGGAGAAATATTGAAACAGTCAGGAACATGGAACCCTGACTGGATATTTGATATGAAAGAATTTTTGTTAAATTTGTCTTCAGTGTGATAATGGCATTGCAGTTTTGTTTTTTAAAAAGTCTTTATCTTTGCGAGATCTACGCCGACGTTTATGGAGGACACACTATGCTATCCGGCATTTGCTTTTCAAAACCCCAGTGGTGGGGGCCGGGGAGAGCAGAGATTGCGTGAGCGTGGCCATTAGTTGGCAGCAGTTGAAGCTGAGGGTTGGGTTCGTGGTGGTTCATTACACTGCTCTCACTCCTTTTGTGTGTTTGGAATTTTTCATAATAAAAAATTTCTTCAAAGAGAAAAAGGCAAAGTTTGCATTTCAAGTTGAATAGTCTTGCAGGTTAGGCTGTTGGAAGGTGAGAATGTCAGGGCTGGGAATGATGTAAGGACTGGTTCCAAAGTCACCCTCTCTCTGGAATCTCCCCAGCCCCCAACTCTGGCGGTCACCATCTCTGTCCTCCATGCTCTCAGAGCCCGCTGCACTGCCTCTACCACTGCCTTTGTTCCTTCATTCCTCACAATTCCATTGGGCAGCTACCACGCACCAGATTCCGTGCTGGGTGCAGGCGGGCCGGCCAGCAGAAGCACTCGGAGGCATCGCCCTCAGGCACCGCCCGGGTGTGCCTCTCACACCAGTTTGTAGCTCCTCGGAGGCAGAGACTGTGTCTTCATCTTTCAAGCGGTGTAATTCTGGGTGTAGGACTGCACCTTTCTGAGCCTCAGTTTCCCCATCTGTGAAATGGGGGTGCTGACCATTTCCACCTCCCAGGCCATCAAACCGGTCCAGGAAGGAGATGCTTAGCACACAGCAGCCCTCAGCTGAACTCCACTGGCGTGAGGCAAGGTCAGTGAGGCAGCAGGAAAGCAGGTTGTGAGGAGAAAACAAACCCTCCCCAGTCGTGATGGGGACTCTGTGTCGGCTGGTTGGTTTCCAGGCTGAACTTCACGCTGAGACACTTGGACGTGACGTGCGAAGCATACGACCACTTCCGTGCCTCCCTGCACATGCTGGAGAAGCTCGCCTCCAGCAAGGTGCGGTTCTCTGTGGAGCGAGTGGAAGCCACCTTTCCACAGCGCCTCGCCTATGAGCGCATCCAGCAGCTGGTAGGTGCAGCCCGTGTGAGGGGAAGGGTGATGCCGGGGCAAAGGAGGCGATGAGCCAAGCCCTCCAGGTCAAAGCCCCCGCCCCGCAGTCCTGAGGGAACGAAGGCTGCAGGCGTGGCACTCTCATTAGTGAAAACCTGTGGGAGGGATGGGCAGAGGGATGCCCCATTCTTAACTATCTCCAAAGGGGCTTGCTCGGCGAATGCAAACCTTCACCTTTATAGCTCATTCGTCCCCTGTGGGCAGTTCAGACTCCAGAGGAAGCTAGACCCAGGCTGGAAGGATGTCCGGGGAGCAGCAACTCAGTGGAGGGGAAATTGGATGGGTTGAGATCCTGGCACAGGGTCCCCGGGTGTGACTGCTGCTGATCACATTTCACTCTTGAACCAGACAGGCTGGTCTAATTACCAGTGGCCCTTCCAGGCCTGACATAGTGGGATTCCATCATATCAGCCCTCTTAGTAATCATCCTAGGAGCCCTGGTGACGCAGCGGTTAAGTGCTTGGCTGCTAACCAAAAGGTCGGCGGTTCGAACCCACCCAGTGTCCCTGCAGGAGAAAGACCTGGCGATCACCTCCCGTAAAGATTACAGCCTAGAAAACCCTATGGGGTAGCTCTCCTCTGTCACATGAGGTTACTATGAGTCGGAGTTGACTCATTGGCACACAACACCAGTAATCATCCTAGTGACACAGCTAACACGCCCCAGATGCCATGCTAAGTGCCTTTCCTCGCCATCTGGGTTAATCCTCACGGCAACAGGCGAGACCAAGTCATTCGCCCAGCCACACCCCACCGCAGGTCACGTTACACCACGCCCTGATTACAGGATGGCTTCCTGTGACACTCCCTTAGCATTGCCAGGAGCTGGCTCCATGCAAGTCCACAGATGGAGAACTGACTTCTGTTCTCTTTGCATTTCGGTTGTGACCTCCCTTCCCCTGGGGCTGTGGAGACCCAGGCCTGGTCTGAGGAGGAGAAGAGGAGGATGACGGGTCATAAAGGGCTCTCTTTTGCTCCCTGCCTCTTTCCCCAGCAAACGTAGCATTGAATTTGTGTCATTTCTTTGTGCGAGGACCTTTCCTTTATCACTGCCGGCCCGCTGCCCTGTCCATTCAGGCAGCCTCCAAGTCGATGGCACACTCAGATGTTTAAATGAAGGCCACCTCTGATAGTGAGGGCATGCAGTGTCCACTAAGAATGTGGTGTGTTTTGTGCATTCTCCACCTGCCAGCATTTAAAGGAATATCACACGCGCAAGAAATCAGCCCCTTACAAAATTCAACAGCCACGGTACACGGTGCCTTGTTGTTGTTGTTAGGTGCTGTCAGGTCAGCTCCAACTCATAGCAGCCTTATGTATAACAACAGAACACTGTCCAGTCCTACATCATCCTCACAGTCTTTGCTGTTTGAGCCCATTACTGCAGCCACTGTGTCAGTCCATCTCGTTGAGGGTCTCCCTATGACCCTTCAAAATGGAGAAGTTGTGACAGCTTGCTGCCTTTCTCCTGGGTCCTTTTGATCATGACCCTCAAACGCTCCTAGGTTACTGCCAGGGCTTTATCCATCCAGCTTCTCTCCCACAGTGAAGCAGAAAAAGCGGCCAGCAAGGAAGAGGTGGGCTGAAGCTCCCCTTTCTGTGACGCATGTGCAGTGCGTCAGCTTTTCCCCTGTGCTAGTTACTTTGTGAAATTGCCACAGTCCCATTGCCCTACGTCAAGTTCAGGCTTAAAACGCCTTTCTCTGTTTGCTGCAGGAGCTCTGGAAGATCACTGCGGAACCAGTCACATGATGGGGCACGTCGACAGGCTTGGCGTCTCCCGGAGAAGTGGCTCTTCTCAACTGTTCTTGAAATATGTTTCCAATAAAATCAAAAGCTCACCAAAGTGACTTGCTTGAGATTTTGTCACTTTAGTAAAAGGTAAATGTGCCTGTATGACCCAGAGGGCTCTCTGGGGTCTAGGGTGTGGTGTTGCTTTCCAACAGCCACCAGAGAACGATATCTCTGGGTACCGCTCTGGGCTGGGAGTCAGTTAAGTTGCCTGTGGTTTTTTGTTTGCTTGTTTTTTTTATTTTATTTTTTAATTTTATTGTGTTAGAATATATATAACAAAACATTTGCCGTTTTAACCATTTTGAACGTACAATTTAGTGACACTGATTATATTTACCATGCTGTGTAACCATCACCACTATCCATTTCCAAATGTTTCTCATCCCCCCCAACAGAAACGTCGTGCCCCTTCAGCAGTAACACCCCATTTTCCCTTGCCCCCAGCCCCAGTTACAACTAATAAACTTTTGTCCCTATGCACTTGCCTAGTCTAGGTATTTTATATATAAGTGGGATCCCACAATATGTCCTTTTGTATCTGGCTTCTTTCACTGAGCATGTTTTCAGAGTGTATCCATGCCCTAGCATGTAGCAGGATTTCACTTCTCTTTATGGCTAAGGAATATTCCTCTGTATGAATGCATCACAGGTTGTTGATAGTTGCCTGTGTTTTTAATGCTGCCAGCTTGTAATACATGTCCCAGGACGTTTCAAGGGCTGCTTGGTCGAGTTGGACAAGTTTTCTCAACTTGATTTCACTGCAGTAAATCACTGGGGCCATTCACTTGCATTGGGGGAACCAGGGCTGTGCCTGCAGTCTTTATGCTCCCCTCTGGTCACTGCTTACAATGACTTCAATGTCGTTGCCACAGTCGCTGTAATAACACCACTGGGCCCCAGAGCCTCGTTGCCTTCCATGGTTGCTTATGCTCATCCCTGCGGTGAGGACCCCATGTGGGGTGAGGGCCCCATGTGGCAGCTGCAGGAACTGGCCCCAGGAACAAAATGCAGTGGTATGTGGCCTTGCTTTTAGCTTTAACCGTTTATAAACAAAATCAGGTATGCTCAGAGCAAACGCAGGCGCCGCTCCTCGTGGCCTGTGCGGCTGACCTGGCGCCCTGGGGTGACCTGCCTCGGGTGTCTGTTCTTCACTCTCGTGGCCTGTGCGGCTGACCTGGCGCCCTGGGGTGGCCTGCCTCGGGTGTCCGTTCTTCACTCTCGTGGCCTGTGCGGCTGACCTGGCGCCCTGGGCTGACCTGCCTCGGGTGTCCGTTCTTCACTCTCGTGGCCTGTGCGGCTGACCTGGCGCCCTGGGGTGACCTGCCTCGGGTGTCCGTTCTTCACTCTGGCTCCCTGCCTCTGCCCGTGTCTGCATCACGTGTGCGTGCATCTGTCTGTCATTTCGGTTTCTATCTGTTTTTCTGTTTGTTCCTGTCTATCGCCACCTCTCCCTGTCACTCCCCGCTCCCTATTCCCACCTTCTCCCTCCTCCTCTCCAGTTTGGTCTCGTCCCCCTGGCCCTCCCTGCAGCCCACTTGCCCCTCTTGCTTCCGCGTAAGTTTCCGCCAGGGCCCAGCATGGCCGCCAACCCCTCCCCGCCTGCCCCTGGTAGCCCAGATCTGCCTCCTGGCTTTGCTTTCTCTCCATGCCCTCAGCTCCCCCTGCGCCTGCCCTCAGCTCGCTTCTCCCCAGAACACCCAGCAGTTCAGACTGCCGGATCTGTCACACTCTCAGCCATTGGCTTGTCCTTCTGCCAGGGGCCAGGTATCTGCAAGTCTGAACTCTTTCAGCCCCCAGCAACTCTAGGAAGTCAACAGTCTGGTTATACCCACTTTACAGTTGAGAAGACTGAGGCTCTAAAAGGAAAAAAACCTCCATGAGATCAGGAACCTTGTTTGTCTTAAACGTCACTATAACCAACCAACCCACTGCCATCGAGTCGATTCCAACTCATGGCAACCCCATGTGTTACAGAGTAGAATTGCTTCATAGGATTTTCTTGGCTATAATCTCTACAGAAGCAGATCGCCAGGCCTTTCTTCCATGGTACTGCTGAGTGGGTTTGAACCATCACCTTTCTGGTTAGTGATCAAGTGCAAACTCTTTGCATCATCAGACATCACTATAACCGAGGCATATTGTCTAGCACAAAGTAGGTACTCAATATATATTTGTTGAATGACTAGATATGAATTATTACTTATTATTATGAATTCTTACAACCCAAACAGTGGTTTTCTACCAGGGGAAATTTTGCCTCCCAGGGAACACTGAGCAATATCTGGAGATAGTTTGGGTTGTCACAGCTAGGAGGAAGGATTCTACTTTCATCTACTGGGTAGAGGCCAGGGATGCTGCTGAACATCCTACAGTGCACAGGACAGCCCTCCCCCTACCCAGAAAAGTATTTGGCCCAAAATGTCAATAGTGCTAAATTGAGAGACCCTGACTTGGAAGAAGGGGACTAGCTACTTTAGGAGAGAAAAATGGGTCTGAGGCTAACCCGGAAGTGAAGAAGATGCAAGAGAATGACTCATAGGGTTTCATAGGCTGTAATCTTTACAAGAGCAGATCACCAAGTCTTTTCTCCCTTGGAGCGGCTAGTGGGTTTGAACTACCAACCTTTCAGTTAGCAGCCAAGTGCTTAACCATTTTGCCACCAGGGCTCCTCTCAGAAAACCTATAGACTAAACTATCTCTAAATCTTATTTGTTGTTAGTTGCTATTGAGTTGGCTCTGACTCATGGTGACCTCATATGTAGCAGAATGACATTTTGCCTGGTCTTGCTCCATCCTCTTGATCATTAGTGTGTTTGAGTCCATTATTTTGACTATTACACCAGTCCCTCTCCTTGAGGGTTTCCCTCATTTTCTCTGACCCTCTACTTCACCAATGATGATGTCCTTTTCTAGAGACGGGTCTTTCCTGATGACATGTCCCAAGTAAAGGAGTCAAAATCTCACCTTCCTCACTTCTGAGGAGCATTCTGGCTGCACTTCTTCTAAAACCTATTATTTGTTTGTTCTTCTGTCATAAAGACTCTAAAAAGATCCCTGTTTTACATAAGAGAAGCTGAAGTTCAGAGAGATTAAGGAATTTGCCCAGCATCACACAGCTGCCAAGTGGCAGAGTCAGGCTTGGGACCCACATCTGACTCCAGACCCACGCTTTTTCCACAGCCCCACACTGTCTCTCTTTAAGCAATTTTTGTGTCCCAGAGCTCCCTACACAGAAACTATCCCAGACAGACTTGCCGTAATTGAGCAGACTTGCAGATCATGACCAGATATATTAATAAAGGGTCTTCAACACCAAAGACACAAGGAAACTATTAGCCCAAGAGACAGAAAGGGCCCTATAAACCAGAGACTCCATCAGCCTGAGACCAGAAGAACTGGATGACCGCCCTGACAGGGAACACAACAGAGAGTCCCTGGTGGAGCAGGAGAAAAGTGGGATACAGAACTCAAATGCTACTGAAACAAAACCAGACTTAATGGTCTGAGACCAGAGGGACCCTGGAAGACATGGCCCCCAGACTCTCCAATAGCCCAGAGCTGAAACCATTCCCAAAGCCAACTCTTCAGACAAAGATCACACTGAATTACTGTGGGACATAAAATGATACGCGTGAAGAGAGTGCTTCTTAGCTCAAGTAGATACAAGAGACTAAATGGGCAGCTCCTGTCTGGAGGTGAGATGAGAAGGCAGAAAAGGATAGGAGCTGGTGGAATGGACACAAGAAATCTGGGGTGGAAAGGAGGAGTGTGCTGTCACATTATAGGGAGAGCAACTAGGGTCACACAGCAATGTGTGTATACATTTTTGTATGAGAAAAGAACTTGAGCTGTAAACTCAAAGGCAAGTAAAATAAAGGGTCTTCAAAACAACCCCACTAGGCAGAGCCCCCAGCAGGTCATTTGTCAGCACTAACTGTGACATTTTCCTAGCACTCCTGGGCACAAGCCCATAAATGTAATTGGCACCAGGCAACAGAGTTGTTGTGGCTTTCACCTGGCACATTAAGGCAAACTGCTCTCATGTCTGAACCACCCGGGCTGAAAGCTGTAAGTGGCGCCCTGAATTCATCGTGATCCACTGTAATCCAAACTATCATCAGAGTCTCACTTCTCAGAGTCCAAATGTGCCCTTATCACCAGGTTTTATGGCATTTTGCTTCAGCCTCTGCAAGGGCCTGCTTGCAGTGATATTTCAGAATCATGAAACCATCGGAATGTTCTGCTCAGTAATTAACCTGGGCCATTGTACTCATTTTTCTTTTTTTGGAGGGGGACACGTTCTGACATTTTCAGAATATACGACCCAAGGAGGGGCGTTGGTCGTTCATCTGTACTCTGCATTTTTTTTTAGACATAAAAGCAGTTTGCTCTGATGTGCCAGGTGAAAGCCATGACAAGTCTATTGCCAAGTAGCAGAGTGGTTAAAACCAACAAATAGTGATTCTGTAGCACCCAGGGCTTCTCAAACTACTGTGCACAAATCACCCAGTTCTTGTTAAAATGCAGATTCTGATTTGGGAAGTCTCAGGTGGGGCTGAGGCTTTATTTCTTACATTCTTTTTAATAATTTTTATTGTGGTAAAATACGTATAACAAAACATTTGCCTTTTCTACATTTATAATTCAGTGACATTATGTCCAGCATGTTATTACCCATCACTGTTATCAATTTGCAATTTTTTCACAACCTTTAACAGAAACTCGGTGCCCCTTAAGCAATACTTCTCCTGTTCCACCTGCCACCCACCCCTGGTAACCACTAACTTGATCTCTATACATTTGTCTGTTCTAGATACTTCATGTAGGTGGGATTGTACAGTAGTTGTCCTTCTGTGACTGACTTATTTCACTCGACAGATTGTTTTCAAGGCTCATCCATGTCGTAGCGTGTATTAGAAGGTCATTTCTCTTTATGGCTGAATAATATCCCATTGTACGGATGGGCCTCATTGTGTTCATCCATTCATTCATCTGCTGATGGACACTTGGGTTGTTTCCACCTTTTGGCTATTG